TTCTTCTGAAGTAAAACGCAAAACTGTGGAAATAGCATTTAGCATATGACGTTTACTTGAAACATCACTTGTAGTTAAATAATTAATAAAAACATTTTTTAAATATTCAAGATTTGCCCCTTCTCTAGATTTGCAAGCTTCAAGCCTAAAAATTGTTAATTGTATGTATGTATCAATATTTTTTTTTAAATTTTTTAATAATTTTTAATTTGAAATTTACCTAGCAATTTGAGCTTGTAAAGCTTTTATATCTTCTTTCTGTTTCTCTTTTATATGTACGATTTCTCTTTGTTTTTCTCGTAATGTAGCTTCTAATTCTAAAACTTTTTTTCTAGACGTTGATACTTGAACTTCTTTCCTTGCTAATTCTTGACTATAATGCAATATTGGAGGACTATCGCTTGTTAATAATCCTGTTACTAAATCGGTTATTGGTTCTGTTCCATTTTCATGTTTTAAAGTATTTGATTTATTTTCTATACTACTTTCTTTTTTAGGTAATAATGCATGGAATGATGTTTTTAAAGTTAAAATTTCTTTGTCCTTTTCTTCGATGAGAGCCATTGATCGTTCTCGTTGACGTAATAATTGTTGCTCCAATGTAGATATTTTATTACGAAATTCATTATCTTTTTGTAATAATAAATGTTTCAATTTTGCATGCTCTTCTTGAAATGACTGAAAAAATAGTATTACTATTTATATAAATTATCTTAAATTTATATATATAGAATTTATTAAAAATTACAAATTCATCATCAAAGAAAAGAAAAATTACCTTTTCTTGATGCTCTAATTTCAATTGCAATTCCCTTTCTTTATTTATAATTTCATTATTTAAAACACGTATTCTTTCTTCTAAATTGTTATTATATGTTTTTAAAAAATGTAGTTGTGTTTTGTTATTTTTATCATGAGATGATGTAATATTTTGACTTTGCATATTATATGATATATTTGCAACACTGGCATATTTCATTTGTTGTTTATAATCTTCTAATTCTTGTAATAAAGTTTCATACTTTTCTTTATAATCAATAACTTGTTGTTTGTCACATAAATTTAAACTATGTAATAAAGCTAAAAATATTTGTGAGAAATTAGTAACATATTATTTCATTTCCAATTCATATAAAAAAATATTTAAATAACTAACATTTAACATATGGTGATTCGGTTTTTTTATTATCTAAATCTAATAATTTATTATAAAGATTTTTTATTCTAGAAATAATTTCTTCAGGTTCATTATTTAAAGTAATATAATCATGTTCAGAATTTTGTAGACTAACTAATTGATCTTTCAATTTTTGTATAGCTTGTTGATCTTGCTGCCTAAGTCTATCATATCCTCCAACAATTTCTGAAAGTTCAGCTAATCTTGCTTCTAAACCAGCTACTCTTGCTTCATGAGTCATTGCTAATGCTCTAGCTTGTTGTTCTGCAGCAGCTGTCCTTTTTTGCTCCTGTAGAATAAATTAATCATTTTTATAAGTGATAAACATAATTCATCAATATAAGCATCTTTTAAAATTACTTCATGTATTGCATTCAAATGTTGTTTCTTCATAAGAACCATTTTAGATTGTAATGATAAAAGAATTGGAGGTGTTTCTATAGCTGCTTCTTGTGCTTGTTTAAGTTTATTTCTAGTTATTTCTAATTCAGTTTCGAGTATTTTACATTGTGTTTTATATCCAAACTGATTTTTTACTTGTATTTCAAGTTGTTCTTTATTTCGTCGTTCATCATTTAATAATTTTTGAAGTTCTCTAAAAAATAAAAGTTTTTTTTTTAAAGTTTTCTTATAGTAAAATTTTTCAAAACTATTTATAATTATTATATATATATATATTTTTAATACTTTATCATTTTTGCATGATCAGCTTGTTCTTTTTCCCTTTCGTGACGTTCCATAATTAATTTACATTTTACATGTTCAATTTCTGAATAATTTGTTTGCGCTTTTTTTAATTTTTCTTTTAAATCTTTAATTATTTTCTCACACTATAAATATTTTATATTAATAAATATAAAATTAATATACATATATATATATATAGAACTCACTTCATCTCGTTCATTTCTTAACTGCTTTTTATCTTGTTGAAAATTTGCTTCCATTTTAGATTTTTCTGCTGAAAGAGTAGCTAAAGAATTCATTAAAGTATCTAGCCGATTTTTTAATTTTTCTATTGTTTCTATATCAACAATATCCGTTTGAATTTCCCGCGACTGAAAAATAAATATTTAAAAATAATATCTATATTAAATTATATTGAAATTTGCACAATATTATATTATATTATTATATTATTATTATATTATTATACTTGTGTGTGTCGTAGATTAAATAACTCATCGTTTGTAGTATTTGTAGCTTTAGTTTTCCGTAATTGAACATTTTTTGTATTTTTTATTTGTGAAGAAAAATCAGATTTATCTGAAATAAAATTATTCATTATTATTATTAATTTATTATTAATAATTTTAAAAAATTAATAATTATTAATTTCAAAAATTAAATTATTTATTATTTTAAGATTATTTTAATAATGATAATATTATATGTCTGTACCTTCTAAATATTTATTTTCTATATCTGCTGATTTTTCTTCTTCTTTTTCGTTTTCCATCATGTTTTAATAAGAAGTGAAAATTAAATAATTAGATATTTTAGATAAATATGTGAATGTTATAATTAAATTAATATTTAAAATTTTTTAAATGATTTTCATTATGTATTTTCATTATATTTTATCATTTTTTAATAATATACATATACATGTATAATATAATATATATGTTTATATAATAAAATTTATAACTGAAATAAAAATTAATAGTTGTTGTAAATTTATCATATAATAATTTAAAAATGATTTTTAAACATAAATTAACATTTTATTTATTTTAGTGATAAGTATTTTGAAAATAATAGAAATATTCATAAAAAATAGTAAAAGTACATTATAGTATTTTTGGCAAAAGATTTATAATATTCGTGTATGAGTTTTGTATATGATACGCATATACATATATACGTACACATGTATACATTTTAAATTATATAAAATTTTTCATATTTATTTTAATTGAATATTTAATAAAAATTTCATCTTAATTGTATAAAACTTAATTTGAGTTTATTATTATACAAAACCAAATATAATTTATATATTGAAGTGAAATTTAAAATTCATTTCAATATAAAATTTCTTGCATTGATTTAAAAAAATGATATTAGATATATTTCTCACAATAATATCATCATAATGTTTTATATTTTTATATGGAATTTATATTTTATAATATTGAAAAAAAATTTTTTAGAAATATTTAATTTTCATAAATCGAATAATATTTATAAAACAAATTATAAAATGTTATAAATGATACTTATAATACTAACAAATAAAAAAAATAAATACGAAATATTACATACATATTTTTAACTATTTAAATTTTATATTTATAATTTACTAATAAGTAAATTAAGTAAAAATACGCGATATATAAACTTATGATTTTATTCATCAATATTATATAAAAATTTTAAATAAAAAAAATAAATATAATGAACTAAATATTTTTTAAAAAAAAAATCAAATTTTTAAAACAAAACTGTTAAAGAAATTATTATATTTGTAATATTATATTAAAAACTATATTTATAAAATTATATGGAAATTATTTTGTTTTAATTTTTATATAATCAAAAACAATATTTCTTAAATATATTATGAAAGATAAATTTATTATAAAAAATATTAAATAGAAAGGGGAGGTATTTTAAAAATTAATAGTATCTATTACATATTTATGTATTAATTTTAAATTCCACCATTCATACATTATTAGATTCATTTAATTTATTAAATTTAAGTGATGATTCTATTTCTAATGTTACAGGTCCATTGTTTTTTATATCAACTTCCATCATTGCTCCAAATTTACCATCTGTAGAAAGTATTCAATAAAATGAAAATATTTCACATATTCTTATAAAATTATTTGTTTATATTTTTTAATTATTTACCTTTAATTAATTCTGGTTTATAATTTTTACCAAGTTCAACAAGAAATTTATTATAAAATGGTCCAGCATCTTGAGCAGACATAGCTTTATGAAAATCTAATCTATTTCCTTTTAAAGCATGGTACAATGTAAATTGACTAATACATAATATTTCATATTGTTTATCCATAACATTAGCATTCCATTTCTTATTATCATCATCAAAAATTTTAGTATTTAATATTTTTTTTACTCTAAGAAAAATAAAATTTTATTTCATATTTTATACAAGAATGAACTGTTTTGTTTAAAGTAATTATGATATTGTATAATAATATTATATACATATATTACATATATTTTATGTCTTCTATTGTATCATCTCTTTTTATGCCAATTAAGATGCAGAGACCATTTCCAATGCTACTAATAACTTGACCATCAACTGAAAAATTATTCTATAAAATTATTCTATAAAATTATTATTCAATATTATAAATATTAAAAATAAATAAAATATAACTTTGATAGCAAATAATACTATATATATTTTAACGATATTAAATTAAAATAAATATTTGTACTATATTATTAGAAAAAAAAAAAGAGAAAACATATGTTATGACTATGTTTTATTCAATTTTATACAATATAATATAGTTTTTATTTTATAAACATATGGTAATATTCAATATTTTTTTTCATTCTTGTTTCTTAACAGACAATAAGTTTGTTATTATAATAAAACATATATAACCTTATCATTACCTGAAACACTAGCTTTTGTAACACGTTGTATTACTGCTTTCATATTAAAACTAAAATTGCTTCTTTTATCGTGACGTTATCGTTATTAATGTATATACCCATGTAAACTCTTTACATTAAATATTTCTTCAAGAAAATACGCTATTACAGTCACTAGTAATACTCCATGAAAGAACCAATAGAAAAGCTAAGATAGTCAGAAAGCTTACTTCCGCATATAGACTTCCTGTAAGGCAGTTTGACTTTTCAAAGATTGTTTACAAGCAAATTGCAGAGTGTATAATCATTTAAAAACTTTAATAATCTCAGAGTTGTTTGTCATCAACTTGTTGAGATTAGTAAAAAATGAACTACTTAAGACTTTGTAATCTATTGCTAAATCTAGGATTATAGTTCAAACTAATTTTCTGTGACCCACTTGTTGCGTTTAGGTTATGGTGTTATAAACAAAAATATGTTGGGTATAAATGTTTGGTTTTCATGATAAATTCGTGTATGCCAGACTGTAGGAATGGAGGATCCAGGTCTGAGCTTGTTTCAAGGCTCAGAAATTCAACTGAATACAAATACACAAGGCTTAGAGGAAGATGAAGAACAAGAAGATGCTAAGCGACGCGATAAAGAGGTGCACTTTTCTTTATTTTAATTAAAGTTTATTATAGAATGTTTTACTCAATCTATAGTCTAATTGGAAAGATTAATTAAAAAAAAAACATGGTTATAATTTTAATAGATAAATTTTGGTGTTTTAGATTCAGGATCTCTTGGATAAGGATCTCACTTGGAATGATGATTTAGATGATGAAACTGATACTAGTTCTGTTAACAATAGTTGTTATCAAGATAATGCTAAAGAAGCAGAAGATTCTAATTCAGTGTTAAATTCTACTCAGGGAATTATATCATCCAAAGACCAAACTGTATCTCAATTACAGAAAGAATTTGGTATTTATGATCATATGGGAAATTCAAATAATTATGACAATATTATGACAAACCATAAGTCAGAATTAGAAATTGTTCCAACAATATCTAATATACAAAGAGATTTTAATGTATATGGTCCATCTGACACGCCATATTCTAAAAATAATAAAAGTAAAGATATGCATAATATTACTGCCGAAACGCCTTATGAATTAGCAAGACTACCAAATTCTGCATTTCCTAAAGATTTAAGAGTTCAAGTTGAAGAAGAGTGTACATTTAATGAAAATTATTTGTATAATTATCAAACACCAGCTAATCATTATGATGCTCATAGTAAAACTTATTCAAATAATGGTTATATTGATGGATATGAAAATAATATACAAAGCAAACAAATTCATGAGTTTGGAGGTGGTGATAATGTTACATCTGATCATTTAAGTCATTGTTACAAAATAAGTCCAAATGGTAGACCAACTGATGACAATGTAGCTTATAAAATAGCAGAATATGATAGTAAAGAACAATTAGAAGTTTTATATACAGTTCGAATGAGAGAAATTAAACGATTAACAGAAGAATTAAAACAACTACAATTGGAAAAAGAAGAAGAGAAAAATCAACTTAGCAGGAAATTAACACTTTTACAAGCTGAAACTGAAAGATCAAACATATCTAGAAATCAAACACAGCATGCTTTGGGTGAGAATTAGAGAAACATATTAATATTGCAACAATATTTTTTTAAAAAAGAATTATAAAAATTTCTATTTTTTGTTTTTTTTTTTTTTTAGTTGATGCAAAAGCTGAAATTACTGGTCTCCATAATCAAATAACATCATTAAAGGAAAAAAATGAAAATTTAGAAAGAGTTAATCGAAATGTAAGATTTTTCTATATTTTTTTGCACAATGATTTTATTATTAGAATGATTACATATATAATATAATTATATATTAATTATTTAATTATATAAATTATAAAATTTAGATGACAGAAGAATTAAGAGATGCAAGAAATTCTTTAATAGAATTACAACAAAAAATAGCTATATTAGAAGAGGTACAAGCATTACAAGCAAATGATAAAACACACGAAAAATTTTTAAAGCAAGCACAAGAAAAACATGCAATTGAAATGAAAAATATGCAAATTCAAATAGATAAACTTACAGATAAACTTAATGCAAAGGTATTTTCAATATTATATTAAATTCTTCTTGCACACACATTTATTTTTTACTCATTTAATTATTTTACAAATTTACATCAATAGACAAAAATTTTAGTACATTAATATTTTACATACATTAATAATATTTGTCATAGCTGCTCAATGTGGATTCCAACAGTCATTGTATCTGGGCAAGTTGTTGATATTGTATTTTTCAAAAACTATAATGTTCTTATATAAAACATTAATATGCTATACAAGTTATTTTTTTAATTATTGCATAACACTATTACTAAAAATTAAAATTTATATTTAAAAAACTGTTTATTATAATTTTATGAATTGAATTATCTTATAAATAAATGAATATCATTTTAATTATTTGATCTTCTTCATTTTAATAGGAAATATCATATGCTGATTTGGAAAATAAATTAGCTGATGTACGAAGGGCAAATGAAACGCTTATGGTAGAAAAAGGAGATACAATGAATCGTCTAGCACAAGCATTAGAAGAAAGTCAAGCACAATGTAGAAATCTTATGGCTACAAATAATGCTCAACAAGTAATGCAACTTCAAGCACAGATTAAAGTTTTAACACAAGAAAAAGAAGAAATGCAAAAAATGATTCAAGAATTACAGGTATTTAATGTATTCATATCTAAACAATAGTTTATTGACAAAAAATTATAACTGTTATATTTGAAATATAAGAATATTATAAATAATATTGTTTTTATAGAATAAATTAGAGATAGCAAAAAGTGATGCAGCACAATATGATTCGTTACTGACAACAACATTAGAAGAAGAATCTGATTCTATTAAACAAATGAAATTAGGCGATTTTCATAATAAATCAAAATCAAAACCTTATGATGATGTAACAAATAAATTAAGAGGAGAATTAAAAAGGTTATTTGTTTCTATCTAAAATAATTTTATATCATATTACATTATCATTTACTATAATATTAATTTTTTATTATATTATTAATTTATAGATGTTTAGCTGGACAGGCAGTTAAAAGAAAGGAAATAACTCGATTAGAAAATACTTTATCACAAAAAGAAAAAGAACTCGATAAAGCTTTAATTATAGCAGATACATGTCGAAAAGAAGCAGCTCGATATGCTAAACGTGTTAACGAATTAGAACAAGAATTGAAATCTGTACTTACAGATGAAGCTTTAAAAGCAAATGCTCAAATACAAAAATTATCTGATCATCTTAGTGATGTAAAAAAGCAATATGAATTATTACGAGAAGAAAAAATGAAATTAGAACAAAAATTAGAAGAAACATTAGCAATTAATGAAGAAACGCTCAAAAAATTATATCAAGAAAGCATAAATCAACAAGAGAAAGATGCAATTGATGAATATAATAAAGAATATTTAGAAATACATGCTAAGGCTATAGAAAGAGTTAGACAAGAAGCAAAAGTTGAAATAGTGCAATTATCGTAAGTAATTAAAATTGTTTCTGAGAAATTATATTTTATTATATAATATATTATTTTTTAATATTATTATATTATTTAAAATAAATATTTTAATTTATAGCGTGCAATTAGAACAAACACAAAAAGAGTTGGATCGTGTTAAGGAATTGTATATAGATGTCTGTAGTACAAAAGAGCAATTAATAAATGAACATAAATCTGAAATTAAAATATTAAAAGAAAAATATGCTAACTTAGAAGATCGTGAAAAAGATATTGAGAAATATCAACATGACTTGCGGGCACAAGTTAAAATAGCAGAAAAATTAACGGAAGAATGCGATACATATAGAAGTAAAGTAATTGAATTAGAAAAAGACTTAAATTATGAAAGAAAGAAAAAAGAAGAATATACAAAGAAAATTCATCAAGAAATTGAAAAGGGTAATTTATATATTTTTTATTATATTTAAAATTTTAATAAAGTAATTATTATAAATGTAATATTTACAGCAAAAGAACAAGCTTTAAATGAATTACGCAATGCTCATCCTAATCAAGAAATAAGTGTTTATTTACCAGATCATTGTTCTGAACATTTAGAGAAAATTAATCAGGTATATATATTTTATTTAAAATTATTTGTTAATTTTATTGTCATTTATAAATTTTTGTCAAATTTAATATATTTATAGCTTGAAGAAGATTGTAAACGTTTAGAAAACAAATTGCATGTTGCTCTTGATGAACATAAAAAAATTGTAGAATATCAGTCTGAATTAGATGATGCTAGATTGAAAGTAGCACAAATAGAAATATCTCAAGAATCATGGAAAAAAAAATATGAAAGAGCAATTAGCGAAAGAAATAATCTTAATAGTAAAATTTTCAAACTTGAATCTGAATTATCAAATATTAAACGAAATATAACAATTGAAGATTTCGATGAAATAAAATTAAAAGAAACTCGATATCAAGTAGAAAATGAAAGTTTAAAAAATAAATGTGAGAATTTGACTAGTGAAATAAGTGCTTATAAGGATAAAATCTCACAATTAGAAATAGAATTATTAGAAGCGAAAAAACTAATTGGAAATTTCGAGAATACATTTAAAAAAAGTAATGAAATATCACTAAATTCAAATGAACTTGAAAAAGAACTTTCTCGCTATAAAACTTTAGTAGCAGAATTAAATAGTAAAATAAATCATTTAAAAGCTGGAAGAAAAGGTGATCTTGTTATGGAGCAAAGAATCAAACAATTAGAAACAGATTTACAAGACAAGAACGAGGAATTAGAAAGATTAAAAGAGTTTGAAAAAGTAAAAATAGAAAGAGATCAACTTGTTTCAAAGTTAAAAAATCAAGCTAAACAATTCGAACAATACGTTAAGAATCAAAAACAAGTATTTGCTGAATTAAATTTATCACCGCGTACACATTCAAACGATGGTACAGATTTTCAAAAAATAATAGAGATTATGGTAAAAGAAATTCGCGAAGAGATGGAACAAAAAGTAGCTGAAGATCTTAGAGGAATAGAGGAACGACATCGAGAAATGAGAAAAAAATTAGAAGATACATATAAAACTATTTTATTAAAATTAAAAAATAGATGTCATGAAAAGATACAGGAAGTGGAAACTTTGAAAACAATGCTTACAGAAAAGGTAAAAATTCATTCATATTTCAAAGCAAAGGAGCAATTTAGTCAAATGGTTGAAACTGAACTTGAAACTTATTACAAAGAATTAGTAGCAAAGAACTTGAAAATCGAAAAATTAGAAGAAATATTAAAGCAAAAAGAAAGTGATGTGGATGAGGAGAGAAATCTAATGGCCCAAGTTATGAGTCAATGGGCTGCAGAAATTACGGAAGTAAAAGGTAAAGAAGTTAAAATGAATGAAAGATTACAGCAATTAAAAGAAAGTGAAGAAAATCTAAAAACAGAAATAAAAATATTAAAAGAAAAAGAAAAAGAAATGAAAAGTAACATTGATACATTAAAAAATAAATATCAATCAGCAAAACAAACTGCAAATAATTACAAGGTAATTATATAATGTATTTTTATTTATTTTATATTTATTATATTATTTTCTATTAATTTTATTTTATTTCAAATTTAACACATAAATTATTTTAGGAGTATGCAAAAAATAAAGAAAAATTTTTATTAAGTGAATGTAAACGTATAGAAGAAGGGTACAAAAGAGCCATGAATCAAGTACAACAAAAACTTGAAGGAATTATTAGTACTCAAGAAAAACATATAGCAACAAAACTTAAAGAAATTGAATGTCAGTATACTGAAAAGATAGAACAAATGCGACTTACACAGAAGTACAAAAGTAAATGTTGAAGTATATATTAATATTTTAGTATGCAATATAGCTTTCGTAGTTTAAAAGGAAAATGTAGTTAGAAGAGGCTAGATATTTTTTAATTTAAAGCACTTTATTGTACAACACTATTAGAAGATTTTTGTGTTAGGGACCAATAAGTTAAAAGTGACATATGTATATTGATAGAATTAATGATACTTATTTGCTGTATTTTATTAATGAAACAGCAAACAGTAATGTAATTTTCTAAACGAAAATACTAAAGTACAATTCCCGGTTAATTATTAGAGAGTACTAATTAATTATATATATATATATTAGTTGGAAGAATGCGATCTTGTAAAAAGAGAATCATTTTTTACATTTATTAATTTTGTTTCATAATTTTATAAATTATCTATATATCTAATGTATACAAAATATTCATTTTAATGTTCTATACAATTTTTATTTTCGCGAAAATATGAAATTTATTAACCAAAATTTATATATGTTGGCTAAGAAATTGTGCGGAATATTAAAGTGAACATTTTGTATAAAAAATGTATGAACAAGTACTCCTGTTAAGTGAGATGCAAATTTTTAGTCACATGTTCTCACTGAACATTATGACATAATATTGTAATGCAAGACTGGATCATTATTAGATCTTTTTTCTTATTAATAAAATAAAAATAACTTCATTATAATTCAATGTATCGAAGTATATTTTTGAGTATTAAGAAATTGTTCACAATTTATGTATCCTAAGAGAATTAGAGATACTAATATTAAAATTATGCAATAATGGCCATTATTATTAGCAATTCAAATTATATATATAAATTTTACATTTATGCTTAATATGCAGAATCAAATTGTATAACATACATTAAAACTAAAGAAATTTATATCCATCCGGTATTTAAAATATTGTTTATTGTTCAAAACAAAATTGAATATATGAATTTTTTTGTTAGTATTATTTAATGAGTACATACGTATAAAATGTTTTGTACAAAATAGTACATAAAAACATTTTTGTAAATGAAATAAGAAGCCATAATTTTTTCTAATCTTATAATTTAAGACTAACTATGCGTGTAATATATCATTTCATTTATCAAACTATAGACTGTTGCGATTAGTTTTGTTTTATGAAATTTTTATAGTATATATATATATATCAATTTTAAAATTAATTATTAATAAGTATTGTTTAATTTAAAAAGAAAAAACATTTTTGGAAAAAACATTTTAATGAAAAATATATATTTTGAAAATTCATTGTATCTTAAATATGATTCATGACATTTATGCATTATATATTGTACATTATATATTGTACACTATTAATTTTACCAGTTTCATTACTGTCATGATTTGATAATAATGATTCTTGATAGTAGTATAATTATTAAACCATCACTGAATAGAGAGTATTATTAATATTAGTTATGTATTTTTGTATGTAGAGTGAATTAATTTATTTTTTGTAATAAAGATTTTATGTCTGTGTCTATCAAAATCTATTCAATTTAAATGAAATAAAACCCTACTTAATTATTAATGTAATCTATTATTAATATATTATTATAATTAATATTGTATATTAAATAATGAAATTTTTATTTAATGTTTTTTATATTTAATATAAAAATTTTCAAAATTTTTCACAATTTTTAATTTGGCAATAATTAAGAAAAAATTTAAATAATTGTATCCATTAAAAAATTTCATTAATGCTTTGAAACCAATAAAATCTTTAGAATATTAAAATTAGATAATTGAAATATTATTGAAAATTGAATAATTATAATATATTCATAATTTAAAATAATAATTTAAAAAATTTTAAATAATATTATAATTAATCCATAATATTTAAAATATATATATATAAAATGATTAATTAGAACTACAATTAGTAATTAAATTATAATTAACAAAATTTATATTGTATATAAATTTTAAATAATTTTAAAATGTTTTTTCAATTAAATAATATGAATAAATTTATGAATAAATTATGAAATTATAAAAAATATTTTTAATTGATTCATCAATTATAAATATTTACAAAAATAATTAAAATTTATTTGTTTATATATAAAAATAATGCAACAAATATAAAATTTTTTTATAATTTTTTTACATATTATATAAATTAAGAAAATTCATATTTTGTTCAATTATTTATATTTATCATATTTATATCATAATAATAATAAAAATAATATATATTTTATATATGTATATTCAAAAATGTGTATTTATTAATTTTTAAAATAATTTATTTAATGTAACGTTTTATTATTGTTTAATTATTTCTTTTTATAATTATCAATTGTAATAAAATATTTACCATTTTTAATATCCTTTCTATAAATCCTTTTCCAAAATTGTTTAAATAAAGTCCTTAAATATGAGTCCATGTAAAATCTTTTAATTTTAATATTTTGATCATCATAATGATTAATAATTAATACAAATATTTGCATATATTAAACTTTGTATTTTTTTCTTTGTTTTGAACATAAATATAATGAAATTTTTTTTTCTTTGCGTTTACGAACATATAATATTCAACATAATCCACATATAAAAGATAAAACAATAAAATAATATATATCTTATAATTATATAATATAATATATTATAATTATATAATATAATATCATAGTTTTTACAAATTTTTAAAAATTGATAAGAAATTTATCGACATTTAAAGATATTTGGATTGATAATAATTTTATATATATTTATTATATTTTATCTGTTTTAATTAATTATAATTCATATTAAAATTTGAAAATCAAATATATTAAAAAAATATATTAATAATTATTGAAATTTTTCATAAATAATAATAGTTAGAATTTTTGAAACAAATATTCTTTTCACCAATTCTTGAAAATAAATATTTTCAATGTCATTACTTAATTAATTTTCTATTTCAAGAAGTCGTTAATTAAATATGTTTATCTTACTAATTGAACACATGTTAATCAAAAATCGCGTGATACATGTATTTCTTTTATACTATTCATATTTATTTTATTCATCAAGAATATCAAATTTATTCAAATTCATACAATTCGATTTAAATATACATTTTGTACATTTTATAAAAAAATATTAATAATATTCAAATGTTTATATAAACAAGCTGTTTTAATGTTAATAAATCAAATTTTGAATTTAATTTAATAAATTGAATTAAATTGATGATTTTATCTTATTAAAAACAAAATATATTATATTTTTTCATCTTTTATAGTTTATACCATTTCTTATTCTTACTATTCATTCATACTATTTCTTATTTTGATCTGCTGTCATTCTTTTAATTTTTATAAAAAATTCAATCAAATATTTGCATATATATATATATATATTTTTTTAAATATTTTTATTAGTTATTAATATTATCTTTTCAGTTATAAAAAAAATAATTTCAATTTAACAATCTAAGTTTATTATTAATATTATATACGAATATACGAATATATATATACGATATACAATGAATATATTTGTAAAATTCATATATAAATATATATTCATATATATATATAGATGATATTAATGTGCATTTACTATATATTAAAAAAAGAGAAAATTTAATGATAAAATAAAATTATTTTTTCATCTATTAATATTTTTATCTTATTTATTTTAAATATTAATTTATATAAAACATCATTTTCAATCATATAAAATATATATGTACGTTTATATGTATGTATTTATAATTTTAGTTATAAAATATATTAAATTATTTATCAAATTTTAATATAAAAGTAATATTAAAATTATTTTCTATTTAAATATTATTTTTACATTATATGTATAATATATAATATAAATATTATATAAACTTTTGATACACCATGTATATACCAAATATGTTGTTATTAGTCATCACAAGTTAACATATTTAAGTTATATACTTATATTATTCATCAGTTAGAATTTGGAATTCATTAAAGACATTATAATGGAGCTATTCAATATTTTATTGTTATTTTTTATTACATTATGGCAATCTACGTTACAACATATTTTTTTAAATAAATTTTATGGAAACTATCAAAAGTCATTGTATATTCAAAATGAATTACATAGCGCGAAATACAGATATGAGATTAAGACGATTGATATGCCAGTATGTGATTATTACAGTAAATTTAATGCAAAAATCTTAATAAGTAATATAGACTATGAATAATTATATATTTCATATACATATTTATTATATTTATTTACATTTATACATTTATATACATATATATTATATATGTATTTATATGTACATATATAATGTATTTATTAATTGTTATAGAAGAAATTTCTGAATATTAAAATTTGATATAATTGTATATATGATCAAATTATATATATTATATTTTATTATGTTTATATGTGTATATATGTTTAATTACATATAATAATTATATATATATCTTTTTAGAATAAAAGTAAAATTAAAAATTACAGGTAGACCACTTTAGTTTTTCAGTATCAAATATATTTAAATTACGATATCTTATAAATGGTACTTGGCAAAAAACAAATAATGCACCAATTTTCTTTTATACTGGAAATGAAGGTAATATAGAAACTTTTGCTCAAAATACAGTAAGTACAATTAATAAAAAAAAATAATGCAATTTAATATATTTTATAAATATAAATTATTTTATTCTTTTTATTTTATATCTATTATATTATATTTTCTATTAATTTTATATTAATTCTATATTAATATATTATATTATTTTATCTATTATTCTATCTATTATAATAATTTCATATAATATTGTATAATATAATAATAATTCTTTAATTTCAAATTTTAATTTAATCATTATTTTATAGGGTTTTATGTGGGATATAGCCCCAGAATTTGAAGCTTTGTTAGTTTTTGCTGAACATCGTTACTATGGAGAATCTATGCCTTATAATAATAAATCATATGCAGATTTAAATCATTTAGGATATTTAACATCTCAACAAGCTCTTGCAGATTATGTTGATTTGATTCAATATTTAAAATCTAAACCAAAATATAAAAATAGTCCTATAATAGTTTTTGGTGGTTCATATGGCGGTATGCTTAGTGCATGGATACGCATAAAATATCCTCATATTGTACAAGGGTTAGTAAAATAGTATTATCTAGAAATAATTTACGATATAAATATAAATTTTATATTATAGAGCAATTGCATCTTCAGCTCCAATATTACAGTTTACTGGAGTCACAGAATGTGAAAGTTTTCTACGTATAGTTACTTCAGATTTTAAAAAAGCTCATTCAAATTGTCCAAAACTTATTCGTAAATCATGGAATACTATTATTAATATAACATCAACTAGTAATAAAATTTTTTATTCATACATTATTTTATTTATGATATGTAATATTCTTTATTTTTTATATTTTATATTTTTCTAATAGATGAAGGAAAAAAATGGTTATCAGATAATTGGAAATTATGTCAATCTTTAAAGAATGAAAATGATATTGAACAATTAATATCTTATTTACAAGATATTTATACAAATCTTGCTATGGTAAATTATCCTTATAAAGCTAATTTTTTGGCACCATTACCTGCTTATCCTATTAATGTAAGTATTAATTTTTAAATAATTCAATATAATTCTTCTAATCCAATCAATATATTTATTATATTTTATAATTCATAATAATTTATAATTCATATTATTTCTATTATAGGCTGTATGCAAACACTTAACTAATGAATCACTCACAGGAATAGAATTATTATTAGCAATAAAAAATGCAATTAATATATTCACTAATTATACTAGTGAAACAAAGTGTTTAAATTTAAATAATTCTACACCTCAGTTAGATGCTATAGGATGGTCTTTTCAAGCTTGTACAGAAATGGTGATGCCAATATGTTCAGATGGAATAAATGATATGTTTAAACCTCATACTTGGAATTTGGATGAATATAGTAATGATTGCATAAAACAATATTCAGTAAAACCACAGCCAAACTTAATATGTAAAGAATATGGATGTAAAGATTTATCAACTGCAACAAATATTGTTTTCAGGTATATATTATCAAATAATATTAAATTTGATTAAATTGAAACCAAAAATTCGAATTTAATAATATTAGTATATAGATTAAATAAATAAATATTAGTATAAATTATATAATTATTAATCATATTATAATCTTTTGTTTATATATATTTATATATATCTTATTTATATTTATTATATATATTTTTGATATGTTATTTAGTAATGGTTTAATGGATCCATGGTCTAGTGGTGGAGTATTACGAAACTTATCTTCTTCTGCAATAGCAATAATAATTCCAGAAAGTGCTCATCATCTTGATTTAAGGAGTAGCAATCCTAATGATCCATTCAGTGTTGTTTTAGCACGAAAATATCATCGTTTTTTTATTACAAAATGGATCAATGAGTATCATGAAATGAGAAAGTGATCAATAAAATATTTATATTAATACTGTGATAGAAAAATTCAATAAAAGATATATTTAAAAAAAACGAATTAAGAAAAACCAAATATATACTTTATAATTATTTATTTTTATATCGTAAATTATATATAAAAAAGCATAACATACACACAATAATAATTATAAACATTTAATATCTTAATAGTAAGTAATAGGTAAACAGAATTGAGTATAAGAAATTTATTATCACAGTACTTAAAGAATGTATGAGTTTTAATAAAAACTTAAAACACACACAGACACAACATTAAAATATTATAATAAATAGCGAATAAAGAATAATCTAAATATAGTTAAAATTCTATTTTAATGATGTGCTTTCTTTATGTTCTTTTTTTAAGTTTATGAACATAAATGATTAAGCAGAACAAGATTCAAATTATTTTCTTTTTTCTTTCAAATAATTATCATAAAATTTTTTGACAAAAAATATTATAGAAATACTGTAGTATTGTTATCAAGCTACAAAATCTAGTCTTTATCAAAAGATACATAAATGCTAATGTAAAAAGACATAAGATTACTAAACTTTTGATAAAGATTGCATTTTTGTTTTTTTATCTCTATATTCCTATATCGAGTAAAACATTTTATTTCTTATCACACAGGTACAGCACATATTTTCTTTTCTATCTTTATACCAATTAATTATCTATTTAATAATTTATATTGCATGCTATTAAATATGAAAACGTATTTTCTATGATAGTTTATATTCATTATTGAATAAAATTTTTCATTTAGTATTCCATGAACATCACAGGAAAATTTAAACATATGAAACATAAAATTTACTTTTATAGTTTTTCATTTATAATATAATATATGAAAAAAATTACCTGAGTTGAAATAATTTTAAATTTTATCGAATATAGTTCTAATTTTTGTTATTATATTTGTTAACAGTTTATATAAACTAGTAAAAATTAAATAGTTCGTTTATATTATTTAGTTTTAAATTATATGTCATATAACACAGAAATTGTAGTTTTTAAATTGTTTTTGTTAATTAGATATTGTCCTATTGTTTATTATATCTCCTATATCTTTGCTGTTATGCAGTATTTAAAATAAGTTAGAACAAACCTGATTCAAAGTAGAAATAAATGTATAATTACAGAAAATACTGATTTCCTCATCATATATATATCATATAAACAAAAATAAATTAGAATAATGTCTTTAAAAAAGTGCTAAAAAAGGTACTTAGTGAAATATAAATATTTTTATCGTCTTATAATTTAAATAATTTTAATGTGGTGTACGTCTATGTGCTGTAGTTGGCCTTGGAACCCCAGATCTACCTCGTATTTTTTTTGGTTGTACGAAAGTATTGTCGATTCCATTATTATAAGAGAGATATATATTTGACATGTCAGGTTGAATTTGCTATAAATAAAAATTATTATAAATATTACAAATTTTATTCTGAAAAAACATAGATATTAATTTGAAAAAATGAATACATACATCTTTATTACTTCCTATTGGTGGTGTAGCTTGTGCTTTTCGCATATTGTTTCCTGTATATGCTACACATTTTAATTGCCATTCTCCAATATCTTCATTCCAATGAACATATCTTTCAATCATTGTCTAGAAAAAAAATTGATAAATGAAATTTTTAATATATAGATATTTATAAAATTTTGTAAATGTCATACATACCTGATATTGAACAGGAATATAACTGTTTACTATTAACTCTTGAAGTTGTAACTCTCGCCCAATACCTCTAACACCTTCTAAAAGTCCTTCCATTTCCCTTTGATGTTCTTGCTGTAAATCAGATAATTCTGCTTTAACAGACATTAACATTGTGTGTACTCGAGCTAATTTTTTAGTTTTTCCTGCAGCTTCTTCTTGCAAAGAAGAATATTTTTCTTCTATATCAATTCGTTCAGCTTCTTTTGCTTCAATAGCTTTTTTTAATTGTTCTTCTCTACTTTTACGTTGTTCAAGTTCAATTGCTGCAGCAGCCAATAATTGTTCTTGAGCTTCTGCTTTTTCTAACAAATTCTCACCACCAACTAAAATCTTGTTTTGTAAATTTTGCATTTTCTCTCTTAATGCTTCTTTCTCACTCCTAAAATGATTAGTCTTTGTAATCTTAAAATATTATAATCTTATCATATTTGTTAATTAATTTTTTAAAAACTTACTGAGTTCTTTTTAATTCAATAACATCTTTATCATCAGGACTTTTATCTTCTCTTTCAGCTTTGTCAATTTTTTCATTAGAATCTATATCTCTATCTTCTAATTCTTCCATTGTTAATATTTGACTTCTTCTACGTCGTGCTTTTTTTTCATGTCTAGCTTCTCCTGTTTCTTCAGAATCTTCAGATTCATCTTCAGATTCTGAGATTTCAGCACCATTTTCTTCCAATTGTTTACGTAATTGTTCAATTTCAACTTGAAATTGTCGAAGTAAAGCATCTTTTGGATCTTCATTAATTCTTGCTCTATTTTTAATATTTTTAGCACGATTTGCGTAACGAAGTGTGCTGATAGTTTCATCATAGTTTATATCTGCTGGACTTACATTTGCACACTAAATTTAAATAATAAATAAATTTAAATAATTAAAATAACTATATTGTGAATAATATATTTAGAAAGAAATAAAATTAACATTACCATTAAAGTTTTTGAATTTCCACCCAAAGAATCTTGTAATAATCTTGTTAGTTTGGAATTCCTATAAGGCACATGTGAACTCTGACCATCAACTAATGCAGATATTACATTACCTAGTGTTGAAAGTGATAAATTAATTTTTGTTGCTTCTCTTAAACGAACCCCAGAAGCTTTTGTTTTACTTTGTCTTTCTGACCCCTAAAATATCATATCATAAATTAATAAGTTCATTTTAAGTAAAAAGCTAATGTAATAATTATAAGAATTTCATACAGCTAAATCAACTAAATGAAGTTTTCCCATTTTAACATGTTGTTCACCATCCTCTCCAAGTTGACTAGATTCAACAGTGATTGTAAATATTGCATGAGATCTTGAACTTGATACATTCATTGCAGTAGCTCCAACAACACCTATGAATCATACAAATATTATATATTTTATTATATTATTTTGTTTATTATTATTCACAATAATATGTCACAATATAACAAATACAGTTACTTTCATTATGAAATATAATTTATATTAAAATTCAAATTATAATATTATAAAATTAATATACAAGATATTTTTTTTTTTATTTTTACTCATAATTTAATAATAAAAATACTTACGATTTTTATTACCAAGAGACATTATTCGATCTAAATCATCAGCATTATTGACAACATAGCCACTAAGATCTTTTACAAATACTCCAATGTCAGGTCTTTCCTTTACTTCTAATCTTGTATTTTGATCTTTACCTAATAAATCTCTAACTTCTTCATTATAAATTTCTAAATATGTTGCACGCACAAGAAATCTGTAAAATATTATTTCTTTAAATATTTAATTTATTGAATTTTTAAATAAAAAATTGAACTCTTATAAAATTTTAATCTACTTCATAAAAAATACTCACTTTTGATTATCATGAGCTTTAGCTATATGTCCAAAAATATGTGCAAAGGTATTAGGAATAATACCTCTAAGTTGTGGAGATGTTTTTGCACCTGACATGGTATATGTTTTACCAGTGCCTGTTTGTCCATATGCAAATATAGTTCCATTGTATCCTTGAAGAACTTTATCCACAATAGGTCTTGCAGTTTCATTGTAAATATCAACTTGAGTTGAATCAGTATCAAAAACAGCATCAAAAGAAAAAACTTTTGGTGGTTCTCCTTGTGCAGCATTGGGATTCTCAACTGTTATTTCACTATTTATGGTATCCACACATACTATGTTCTTACAATGCCCGTCCAACTCCTTTCCATTTAAAGGTCGAACACGGACCACAACTCTGACATTTTCTATTTCTCCGAGTTCTGTTGTACTATCCTACATAAAGATAATTAAAAAATTATATAATATAAAGAATAAAAAGGAAATGTAGATAAGTTCAAATCATTACTAATATTTTTTTTAATTATTCTAATTATTATTATAATTATGATAATAATTCGATTTGACAGATAGAACTGTCAAACAAATATTTAATATCTTTCGTATAAAATTCACATTTTTACAATATATAAAAAATACTAACTTCAGTCCCCGGCATTGCAGCTTTATTTTCTTTTAAAGTCACATAAACATACGATTTAGAGCATATTATTTAATCTCAAAACAATGTTTTAATAAAACGTAATGGACTAGCAGACGACCTCCGTAAACAAATGGATCGATTTGTATGATTGTATCACATGAAGATAGGTACAAAATCACATCATTTACAATCCATGAAGTTAGAAATTCAATAATTCATCAATTATTATTCTTTAATTCTTCAAAAATTATATAAATGAATTGAAAATATTTTTATATGTGTATTTATTATTAATATGTAAAGATAGAAAACTATAAAATTATATTTTTTTAACAGAGAATAATTTCTATAAATCATATCATTCAACCACAAACTAGATATAAAAGAGACTACAAACTAAATAGATTTATATATTTTTTATGAATTTCTATTATAAAATGAATGAAAATGAAATGAAAAATATTAAATATATAAAACATTAGATTTTAGTACTTTATTATGCTGTATTAAAAATATTTCTCAGCAAAATTATATTCAAAACATGAAAGAAAATTAAAACATCGAGAATGAATTTAATTTGTAAAAAGAATTGCTCAATCAATTATACATTATAAATTTTTATTAAAATCAAGATTTTCAATTTTCATATTTGAATACTTATAAGCTATTGTATATATATATATATATATATATATATACAATAAAATACGAACTGTTTAACTATCATCATTTTTTTTGTTACAGATTATAGCAAAAATAAATTTATGATCTTTTTCTAGTAATAGCATATCTTAAACATATTTTAAAATTGTATTGATTGCTTGTATTGATATTGAAATCTCAAACTTTTTTATTATTTTTTCTAGTTATTAACAATAAAATGAATTATTTATTTTAACGAATATTAATTACTTGCTTGTATTATTAACGATATCAGCATTTGTAATTTGTTATGTATTTTTATATATTATATATCTATTTTATATAATATTTCAGTTCATATATTATTTTAATTTACGTTACTTTTGTCCATTGCGAAAAGTATTTGAGATAAAAGTAAAATGATTTCAATAAATGATTTCAAATATTTTTTGACATTATTTATATTTTCGTAGGTGAATGCATAGAAATCATATAAAAATTATTTTTTAATAGAATTTTATATTTTTTTATACATTATAAATAAATAAATAATAGATACATATTAATCACAATAATAATTAATAATTTCACATAAAAAAATACTAAACTACTTATAACAAATAAATTGTATAGTTTTTTTTATAAAGAACTGCGAAATATATTGACTAACACAATAAAAATAATATAATTCTATAATAATAAAATAAAATTAGCAAAAATCTTTTATATGCACGAAAAAATTAATAATCAATTAATAATCAAAATCCACTTTAAACAATTTCATTTTTATTTTAAACTTTTTAAATGAAAAACAAAAAAGATTATAATTACAAAGTTATATGATACATACAGTATATTTCTCAATTTTTTAGAATTAAAAAAATTATAAAAAAATATTTAATATATTAAAACAACAGCTCTTATGAAAAATACATAAAAAATAAGTATTTCTTTTAAGATTTTTTAAAGATAAAAATTCAAAAAAAAATATTGAAAAAATGAATTTTCTGAATCCCAAAGAATATCTGCAACAGGTAAATATAACAATAGTAAGCATTTCGCAGATAAATATATAAAATTCCATAAAATTCTTCATTTTAAAAATACTCGAAAAATTTCGCATATTACTTCTTGTCCAATTATATTCTCCTAATATAAAGCCAAAAAAAATTTGGTCAAAATTTGTTGTCTTGAAATTTCCAAAAAAATTTCGCGTATTATTTTCTTTCAAATTATATTTTTCTAACATAAAATTGAAATTAAAATAGAAATTTTTTGTTTTTCAATCTCTAAAATAATTTCGTGTATCGAATTATATTCTTTTAATTAAGATTAAAATTTTTTGTCAATGAAGATTATTGCCTAAATGTACGATTTTTTTTTTTTTGAACAAGAATATAATTATAAAAGAAATAGTATATGAAATTTTTTCTGACAGTAATTCTACTTACCTGTTTTATATTTACCTTTAAATATTATATCTTTAAGCAGGCCCATTAGCAAAAACTTTCATCATTTTTTGTTATTTTATTTAATTCTATTATTATTCTATTAATTATGAAAAATACTATATGACATTTCTAAATTTATTCTTTTATGCTGGTATGATTTTAAGATCTGTAGAAAAATATACAAAAAGATATAAAAAATATTTTATAATTATATAAATATATATAATTATATATATAATATAAAAATATAAAAAAAAAAAAATATATATATATATATATATATATAAATAATATGTACATATATTTGTGAATAAAATATATGTAAAATTATATGAAACCTTTAAAACATATAAAAAAATAATTTATATGAAATCTATATAATTTATATATCAAATTATATAGATTTCTTGCAATATATAAAAAAAAAGTTTATGTAAGTATTTATATAATTTATTATATAACTTATGTATATTATAATTAATATTATAATTAATAATAAACACATATAAAATATATATACTTACAATATATAAAAATTGGATAAGAATAAACTATTAATATAATATATTGTTTTTAATCAATAGATTAAACAAACGAGATAATATATATATAAAATATAACAACAACATAATAAAGTTAATCACATATCTAATCCGTCTTTTTTAGAGCATAAATTTTACAAATATAGAAGATAAGTAGAAAAAATAATGAAAAAAGGATAGAAATAGGGAAAAAAATATGAAAATCAGCGCCATCTCTAGAATGCTAAAGATACTTCTTGTGATTACGTCATGATCAAATGTGAACAAAGATAGCAAGTAATAGAAAAAGGATAGACAATGAAAAATATGAAAATCAACGCCATCTCTAGAGTGCCGTAAATTAAACTATATAAAGAAAAGGAAAGTGAATATTAAAAAAAGATAGATAGATAAGAATTGATTAACAGCGCCATCTCTTGAATACTAAAGGCATCTCTCAAAAGGATAAGGTAGAATAGAATTGAATATCAACGCCATCTTTTGAATACTAGAAACATTGTTAAAAAAGATAAAGTAGAGACGGAATTGAATATCAGCGCCATCTCTTTTTTATGAATTTTAAATCTTGAAAATATTTTCTTTTATATTCAAGAGATGGCGTTGATATTCAATTTTGTTCCTACCTTATCCTGTTTTTAAGAAATGTCTTCAGTATTCAAGAGATGACGCTGCTAATTAATTCTTATTTTATCTTTATCCTTTTCTAATATTTACTTTCCTTTTTTTTATATAGTTTAATTTGCGGCACTCTAAAGATGGTACTGATTTTCATATTTTTCCCTATAGCTATCCTTTTTCTACAATTTGCTCTCTTTGTTTATACTTGATTTTGACACGTGATCACATGGTACATAAATGTATGATATGTCAATTAAACACACTTTTATCATTTCTTTTTCAAAACTATATATATATTTGTCTTAATCCTTAATGTAAAAAATATAGATATTATATTTTCGGTTTTATATTTCTACAATAGCTAAAGATATTTTATAAAATATAATATATTTTGATATATTTTCTTATATAGTATTATATTGGTAATGTTTTAATGTATATATAATTCAGCGACAAAGATGGGATTTAAATAAACTTGTTTTAATAATAAAAAAAAATAAGAAGAAATTTTGAAACATTTTTTAGAAAAATTAAACTATCGAAAATTTATCGAATTTATTTTTTCTCTATTTATAATTTTTCTAAAGCATTTCTAAAATTCATATAATTAATGAGATAGTTAATGATAATGTTTTAATTAACTATTGAATACAAAATAACGAAAACTTTGTATCTATTTTGTATTTTATCTATAATTAAATTTTGATTTTTTATGAAACGCAATTAATTATTAAAATTTGTTATATCGCATATTATTATATTAAATAAAATATTATATTAAATAATTTTTCTACTAAATGAAATTCAATTAAAAAAAAAATGAGAAGAAATGAATTCAAAAATATTACATTAAATATGTTATATGTTTGAATGAAAATTTAAAAATTTAGGAATACAATAAACTTTTTTAAAAAAATAACAAAAAATAATTTTATATTAAATATATATATCTTAAATATATAATAAAATGCTTTTTACTGTGTAATCCATTTAATTAAACATTTTTAAAAATTTTTTTAATTTATTATTAAATTCTACTTATATATATATTTGTTTTCTACATGTAATTAATTTAATTTATAATCAATGTGATAAAAGCTATTTTGATTGCCAATACTGTTGCTTTTCTCATTTTTATATTTTCTTTATTATAAAAATTATTCAATATCAAACAATTTAGCTTCCTCGATGCTAAATTTCACTTCCGCGAGGGTGAACATTTTCGTTATGAGTTAATGACTTGAGATAAATCTTTCATGCTACATCAATATTAATATTAAATCATTACAAAATAAATAGATTTTAATTTCACATATTGTAGAATACGATGTATAACATAAAGTTCGTTAATGAAATTAATTACATTGAAGAAGTAATTAATTAGAAGAATGGAAATAAATGTTATATATAAATTATACGTATAAACAGAACGAAAAAATCAATGAGTTGTATCGAAAAAAAAAAAAATGTTTCTTTTAACTAATGTTTTATACATAAGTTAATAAATGACGAACATCCAATTTACGGAGACAATCATCGAGTGAGAATTGCATGTATATTCAGTATACGAACAATAGCGAACACATTCCCCTCCCTACACCCTAGTGGTTCCCCCTCGGTATATCGTACCCCTGCATGAACCTCGATGCATATCCCCACCTAGAAAGAATATACCCGTTTGAAGAGAAACAGCAGCTGACGACCGTAACAATGCATTCTCTGCATGCGAGAGCAATATGCTCTACGCAGGGTTACGAGAGAAGACGGTGAACTTCGTTGCACGCACGCTACTGGCTGCTAGATTACCAGTGTTACAGCGATGTAAAGCCATTAGAACGTATAGGCAGTAGGTAAGGAACTTTATTCGCTTCGGCGAGATATCGATCTTGCTAGTTCGATATATAAACAAGAGGTGTGATCATCGGTTTTTTAACGAAGATATATACGTAGTCAATAATATGTGCTCATCGAATGTGAAACGAAATATTTTTTTTTGATTTAGTTTCATTTTTTTTTTTTTTTTTTACACATATATTT